CACGCGGCTCTGCACCCGCCGGGGTTCCCCAGGACGCCCAGCCTCCGCCGCAGCCCCCCACACCCTACCTCTAATCACCACCTGACCTATCCTGCGACCCCGGGTACCCCCAAAGCACTCGCGGGTCACCCAGCACTACCCCTCCCTGAGCGCACACACACAGCCCTCAGCATCGCTCCCTGCGCATCACGGCACAGCGCCCTCCTCTGCAGCCCCTCCGGCCCCCGTCAGTTCTCAGCACACCGCATGAATCATCTCATGTGCACCCCTTGCAGCGCACGCCACTACACACAAAAAACACCCCAATTCACAGAGCTTTCACATACCATACACAGGCCCGGAACACAACTTAGGTCCCTTCCCGTGGAACTCCACACACACGCCCCTGTGAGGTGCACCACTAGGGTCTTCCCGTGCAGCGCCTCCCGTAGGTATTGCACGCAAATCGTCCAGCATAACCCTTCCCCCAGCCTCGAACGCTATGGCCTGTAGGACAGCACATGCTCCGGTCACTGCCGGTCTTTCCCATTACCTCTCCTGCACCTTGTACACAGGCACCAGCCGCACCACACATCGCTCAGTGCACAGCCTGCTGGCTCATCCTCTTAGCGGGCAAGCGGGAATGAGATCCTGCCAGGTAGTTATAATGGTGCTCGGTTCCTTGTAAATGCTGTATGTATTAAAACACGCAAACTTCATACTACATAACAACCCTGTATCTTCAAAATATACACACTCGCGTGCTCAAAGCGTGTCAGATCTATATGTACTCAGAGGCGCTGCCCAGCCCACGCACACCATGTGACTAGACCTTCGAACCTGCGGCCCATCAACCTAACCAGCAAATTAATTGATCCCTGGTTCAAAATAATGCATATGTTGGTACCGATTTAAAAGTTTATATTTTTGAAGCTCTTTAAAGGAAGAAAAATCGAATCTGCCACACCATTATGGCTTGAAAGACCAACCTAGGTAGTATCATTTTGGAGCCACACTGTTGGTTTTAAAAACTGGCAGGCAGTGTTTTTGGTTAAATCACTTAAGCCTTGTTCTGAGTGTCAGAGTTCACACCCATACAATGGGGATAAAGTATGTATTCATCCCCGGTGAAGTTACGAAGACTAAATGAGTGTGTGTGAACATACCAAGTGGAGTGTCTGGTACAGGAAAGCCCAGTTAATGTCGGCTCTCTTCTGATCCTTCAATTCAGTGTCCAGTGGTGTTCAGTCAGGGTCAAGAGCAGATGTGCAGGGGCACATTGGGTGGTCACATATCGAGGAAACTTGAGTGTTCAGTGGAAGGGAGGATAAAGGACACTAAATGTATTGTAACCTAATGGACAACATTGTACAACAAAGATTAGATTGTTCCCTCACACATACACAAAAGACAAGTACCAGTGGTACCTCCGGGGGGCATTACTGCAATTTTTCAAATTTCTATGAAGCCAATAACCTCCCACATCACACTTACTCCTTACTTCCATAATCCTTTTGACTATTTCCTATTATGTGTTTATTTGTATGAGTCACCTAAAATATAAACAACCACAAGTAGCAATTACTCTTTAGTAACTGAAGGATATTGCTACGGTATTATTGCTGTAAAGTCTGCTAATGCTGGGCGGATCAGACTTTACTATGGTATCTAACCAGTTGTATTTCTAGCTTTGGAGAGAAATCAGTCTTGATTCTAGGTATGGTTGCACACAGTATTTCATCATATCACCTGATTATACCATTATCATTAGTGGCCACTTAAAATTTTGCTGAGGCTCAGTTTCCTTATCTGTTTGTAAAACAAAAATACTAACATCTCATAGGATTGTCTGTCATTAAGACAGTTAATTAACAGAATTAAGTTTATCTTTTTAGATCATTTGTGTTTAGTTCAGTGCATGGCAAATACTAAGTATTTAAAAAACATTTTTTATGTGATTTCATCAAACAGTAATGCCTTCCAAATTCTATTTGTTACTGAATGAGGATATAGGTAGCTCTATGAGAACAAGGAGAAAGGCATTGGAAAAATGGAGATTGTATAATAACCCATACTGGTTTCACATTAACCTCCACTTAGCTTCATCCTGTATGTGGGTTCACAATGATGGGATGAATGAGATTTCTTTGCAAATGAGAAAAGTATAGTAATTAAATCTTGAGAAGCAGAAATGGGCAGTTTATTTATCTTTAATATATTGTAGGCCTATTAATAGATCTTTCATTCTCTTTTAATACAGAAAGTCATGTTTTTCTGAAATTTCTCTTTCACACAGTATTTTGCTAAGTCAGTTGATAAATTGTAGCAATGAAAGTGTAAGAAATTAATCTGGATTTTTTTCATTGAATTTATTGGTACTTTTTAGGTATACAGTATAGTTATATTCATCATTGGGATTTTGTACCTTTACATGACATCTTGGTTCTCATTTTTTCCCCATACCCTCTCCCCTCCCAAATTTAAAAAGACTTTATTTCCATTTTCTAATTTTCTCATATTTTTTTCTTTTCCCTTCTTTCCTTTCCCCGCTACCCTTTGCACTTCCCCTATACCTTAGCCTTTTTCTTCCTATTTCACCTTGTTCATTACACAATTTGAATCTTATTTACCCTTTTAGTTTTTCAAACCAGAGAAACTATTCAGTATTTACACGTGTGTCTTATTTATTTCACTTAAGAGTATGGCCTCAATATGCATCCATTTTCCTATGAATGAATCTAATTTCTCATTCTTTATGGCTGAGTAGTACTCCACTTTATAGAAAAACCACATCTTTATCCAGTCTCCAACTGATGTACAACTGGGCTGTTTCCAAGTTTTAGGTATTATAAACTGTGTCGCTATAAACACGGGTGCACATATATCACTGTGGTATGATTCTTTTAATTCTTTTGGAAAGATACCCAGCAGAGGGATTGCTGGGTCAAATGGAACCTCTAGTCCTAGTTCTTTGAGGTATCTCCACAGTGATTTTCTACAGTGGTTGCACCAGTGTGCATTCCTACCAACGATGGTTCTTCCCACAACCCTGCCAACGTTTGTTAGTGGTTGATTTCTTTCTTTCTTTCTTGGTTTGTTTGTTTGTTTGTTTGTTTTTGGGTTTTTTGGGTTGTTTTTTTGAGACAGGGTTTCACTATGTAGTTGAGACTGACCTGGAACTCACTATATACCCCAGGCTGGTCTGGAACAGTGATCCTCCTGCCTCATCCTCCCGAGTGCTGGGATTACCAGAGTGTGCCACCATACCCAGCTGTTATTGGTTGATTTGATAGCAGCCATTCTTTCTGGGGTAAGGTGGAATCCCAGTGTTGTTTTCATCTGCATCTCGAATGACCAGTGATGTGGAACATTTTTTCATGTATTTATTTGCTGCTTTTACTTCTTTGTCTGAGAAATATCTATTCATTTCAGATGCCCATTTTTGAATTGGGTCTTTATATTTGGGGGCCCTGATTTTTTTGAGTTCTTTATATATTCTAAGTAATAGTCCTTTGAGGAGCAGCTGGTAAAAATTTTTTCCCACATTGTAGGTTGTCTCTTAGTTCTGTTGGTGTTTTCTTTTGCAGTGCAGAAGCTTTTTAATAAGATGAGATCCCAGTTGTTGATTCTTTGTGCTAGTTCCCATGCTACTGAGGATTTGTTCCTAAAGTCTTTTCCTATGCCAGTGTCCTCAAGAGTTCTGCCTAACTATCTTCCAGGAAATTTAGTGTTTCTTTTTTAATATTTAGATCTTTAATCCACTTGGTTTTAGTTTAGTGCACGATGAAAGATAAGGGTCTAGTTTTAATCTTTGGCAGGTTGAGATCCAGTTTTTCCAACACATTTATTAAAGAGGTTATCTTTCCTCCACTGAGGATGGTTGGCTCCTTTGTCAAAGATGAGGTAGCTGAGTACTAATCTGAATTTTAACAGCTTCCAAAAGTAATAGAAAAACCATGATGTGAACTTGAGGCTATGTCCTTTTCTAAAAAATTATTAACAGTTTATTTCTCATGCTTATTTCATAAAGAAACAAATCACATAATGAAAAACAAATTAATAAGTCTTACTTTATATAAAATCTTAAGCACTATCAATAAGATTAGTAGTTACTGTATCTTCTAATGATTTACAGCACTTTTAAGTGGGACATTGTAATAGTAGTGCTATATTCAGAATGATTCAGTCTACCCTCTCATAATGATTATCTGTAGTATTTTTCA